TGTTCATAATTATCTAAGTAGGCGTCAGACTTTAAGCTAGCATGACTTAGAATCAACGGTATGAAATCATTTTTGCTCTTTGTTAATATTATGTTTAACGAATAAACCAGGTTAACTTAACAGTAAACATACATAGCACAGAAAGCCGTCTACCTAGGTTTCGTTCTGGTTGGCTTTTCTTGACATAGCGTAACTAAAATCGTAAGGAGATCGATACTCTCTGTGTGATTCGGACTCACGGCAACTAGCTTCACAGTTTAAGACATTAAAACTCTGTGATAGTCAGTCGGCAATTGTTTTTGTATAAGACTGAAATATTTAGAATTTATTAATCACCGAGTAATGATGAATGGAATATTTACCTAGTCATTTAGTGCTGATAGGATTCTATTGATAAAGTTGTAATGTATCCACTGGTATGAATGATTTAACATCGCATGCATTTTGTCGAAGAGTAGTTTCCCGTATAAATAAACATATTTTGAGGATAATAGTGACTATGAACGCTACGTAACTAGTGGACATATATATGGCTAAGACCGTTCTTGAAGTAAGTAGGTTGTTTTTCATCCTTAAGGTGGCCTGTATTTGCAGTAGTAGTAGTAGTACAATGTAGGTATATTGAGTTTCTTTTAGTAAAACAACATTTCTTAAACCTTTATAACTTTCTGTCACTTTGCAACCAGTTGTTTAATAGCGTTACCAGTGATTGACATATTTCGTATTCATCATATGCCCATACCCATTGGTTATTTTTATTGGTAGAAAGTTTTCACATGTAGTGATGCCATGTTTCTTTTGCGACTGATAAATGTTTATCCCAAGAAAAAATTTAATGTTATTGGTTTTTGTGTTTCGTCTTGAATATTTACAATAGAGCCGATGGTTAGCTTATATTTATATTTTCAGTACATTAGTGTTGCATGCCCTGTAAAAAAACAGAACTCTACTTTTTAAAGCAGGGCTTACATATATTCGCTTTACTTTAGATCAATCTACCACCACACAACATAGCAAATGATGTGTCTTTCAAATTCTCATATACATTATTTTTATATTGGTAAAAATTACAGTTGCTTTTTTCTATGATTTCTGATTCAAATTTTATATCAACTGAAAGATGATACAAAACTATGTGTTAGTTATTTAAATCCAAGCTGAGAATTGTTTCATTATGTTTCTCTTAAATATTCATCTACAGTGCATATCTGTACTGCCTTTGAGAAAATTCTTCTTGACCGCAGATAGAAAACATTTTGTTCCAGTACCCTGTTAGTCAGTCGTATAGACTGTAGTATGTAATATTTAGTCAGTTTATGTCCGATTTCACCAGATAATAAATGAAATTAACATTTTATATTGATCTAATTTTACTATGATCAAGTCGATTCGCGATCATCATGTTCTGTATGGTGTTTTTCTAATGTGAATGACCACTATTTCACTTGAGAAACACTTGTCATTACAATTATTTAGGTGAGAAATAAATGACTAATTGATTTGAAGATAAGTTTTTGTTATTAGAAAGTAAGATTATTTGAAAAAAACATACTATTTTCGTTTGGAATGTATCGCTAAAATTCATCTCTATTATTGTTAAGGATCGTATTTTAAGTTCTGTAAAACTCCCAGTAAATAACTATGAATCGTTAACTCAACCAAGTAATTATAGACCAGATAGATTGTGGCTAGCATTAGCATCCAGTGAATGTATTTGATCTTATTTGGACTCGTCAACTGAATGTATAAGCATTTTAGTGTCGATGTTCATATTGGGACCAGATCCAAATACTTTCCACTTCAAACTCCAACGCGCTTTTTACTCAGTTACTGAGTACAGTTAACCACTAACTTGTTCACCTGGTATAATATTTAGATCATTATTAATATTGATTCGAATCACCCTAATTTTGATGTTCAGGACTAAATTTCGACCAGTCTTTGTTAGCATATATGCATCCAGTACTGATTACCTCAATATGGACACTTTATCACAAATTTCATAGAATAGATGGCTTACTGTTAGGAGTGAAGTTTAGGACGAGTGTTTTGTTCTGTCAGATGTAATTGAATCTTAGTGTTGACGTCCAAATAAAATAGTATGAGAAGAAGTAAAGTAAAAACGTAATTTTTTCCTTTCTTGTTTTTGTGATAGGTTAATAAATTTATTCTATATTTATCTGTTTGTGTTTTCAACAAAAGCACTGTTGATAAAGTGAGAACATTAAATGCATATATTTAACACAATTAACTTCTCATTAGTGATCAGAAAATTATACTGTAAATAATTTTGAAAGGGATCCTAAAAACAAAGTAAATATTTGTACATCTGAGTTGAAAGTAAATATTGAGGTTCTGAAATATGAATGATGACCAAGATTCCTGATTACTGAAATGCTTTCGTATTAATAGAATGTTAGCAAACGGTAAATTGGAACATTTTTGCAAAAAGGGTCACGTTAAAGAGAAAGGTTTCAGTTGTTTTTTTGTTTTGTTTTCTTACATCTACATAGTTTAGAACTGTAACTGGCTAAAGCTTCTGTAATCTTAAATAGACTTTAAATGAAAAGCTCACGGAATCATGCTTCTCTGTATATTTCCCCCAATAAATCGTAGTTGTTATCCATTTACTAAGTAAGTCAGTTTCAGAATAATTGGTTAATAATCTAGGTAGTTTGAGGACCGAATTTCACAATGAAATAGATATGTAGCATGGACAAGGTTTCGTTTCTTTTTGTTGTTGGGACCTGGATATTAACATTTGAACGAAGAATAAATGAATGGTAACTGCTAACTTACTTACTTACTTTCGCCTGTTACTCCCAACGGAGCATAGGCCGCCGACCAGCATTCTCCAACCCACTCTGTCCTGGGCCTTCTTTTCTAGCTCCATCCAATTCTTGTTCATTTTTCTCATGTCTATCTCCATTTCCCGGCGTAATGTGTTCTTTGGTCTTCCTCTTTTCCTTTGGCCTTCACGATTCCATGTGAGGGCTTGTCTTGTGACGCAGTTGAGTGCTTTCCTCAATGTGTGTCCTATCCACTTCCAGCGCTTCTTCCTAATTTCTTCCTAAACTGGGATCTGGTTTGTTCTTTGCCACAGTTGGTTGTTGCTAATAGTGTCCGGCCAACGGATCCGAAGTATTTTGTGTAGACAACTGTTAATAAACACCTGTATCTTCTGGATGATGGCTTTCGTAGTTCTCCAGGTTTCTGCCACATACAGTAGAACTGTCTTGACATTTGTATTGAAAATTCTAACCTTGGTGTTGGTTGACAGTTGCTTTGAGTTCCAGATGTTCCTCAGTTGTAAATATGCTGCTCTCGCTTTGCCGATCCGCGCCTTCACGTCTGCATCAGACCTACCATGTCCATTAATGATGCTCCCTAAATATGTAAAGGTTTTTACATCTTCCAAATCTTCCCAGTCAATGGTTATTGGATTGGTGCATGCTGTGTTGTATCGGAGAATCTTGCTTTTCCCTTTGTGTATATTGAGACATACTGCTGCTACGCTGGTCGTTTTCTCTTGCATTTGTTGTTGCGATTGCGATAGGAGGGCCAGATCATCCGCGAAGTCTAGATCGTCCAACTGCATCCTAGATGTCCACTGCATCCCAAGCTCCCCCCAGATATTGACGTCTTCATGATCCAGTCGATCACCAGGAGAAAGAGGAAGGGTGAGAGTAAGCAACCTTGCCTGACACCGGTCTTTACCTCGAACGAGTCTGTCAATTGTCCTCCATGCGCAATTTTTCAGTTTAATCCATCTTATGAATTCTGTATGATATTGACTATCTTCTGAGGCACGCCGTAGTACCGAAGAGGCTTCCATAGTGTTGTTCTGTCCACGCTGTCAAATGCCTTTTCGTAGTCAATGAAGTTGATTTAGAGTGATGAATTCCATTCAGTTGATTGTTCCACAATGATCTGTGGAGTTGGGAGTTGGTCTGTACACGATCCATCCTTACGGAATCCTGCCTGTTGGTCACGAAGTTGGGCGTCCACGCAGTCCTTCATCCTGTTTAACAATACCCTGTTGAAGTCTTTTCCCGGTATTGAGAGAAGAGTGATGCCCCTGTAGTTATCACAGTTGTTGAGATCTCCTTTCTTTGGTATTTCGATCAGGAGTCCTTCTTTCCATTCTGTTGGCACTTGTTCCTCATTCCAAATCTGCTATGGGTTATTATTATTACATATATTTCTATTAGATACCATTAAGTAACTTATTATGTATATTCATATTCCTGTTACCATAAACTTTCATTTGACTTATTGGTTACTGTTATACGATTTACCATTCTCATGTTATTCCCAATCTATTAGTTACAGTCTCACACTGACAGCCACTTTTAGCTTCGATCGTGTATAATTGTTATTTTTTTATTTTATAGTGTGACGCGGTCTGGTTTGCTTGCATATAAACTACATGTGTTTGAAATATATTATTCACACAGTGGAGGCTGAGACTCAGCGAACAGGGCTAGGCCAGAAGGACCAATAAATATTCAGAGTGGATGCAAGGTTGCTAATACCATTTGACGTGTCTTTGGTTTAGCACAAAAACTAGTCATATAAGTCCGTATTCAGATTGACGATTTTGTCTTGTGATTATTGACAGGGAACGAAGTTTATATATATTAAGTAATTCATCAATTCTTGTTGGAAACGAAACATCTGGAAGTAGTATTTCAGATTCTTGACTGATTTTTAGACTAAGTGATAGATCGTAATTATAATATGGTTACAAGCAAAGTATATCGTCTCTATCCATGGTATGCTTCTAAATACTGGATTAAGTTCCAGTCATGTCATCATAAAAACCTTTTAATTTCTTGCTGAGTATGTTAATGAAGATTCAAATTTATTACACATTCAAACGGCTGTATAACTTTTAAAAATAAACTAATTGAAAAGTGTTGTACTACCAATTAATACGTGTAATCAGATTGATTAATGTATTTTTTTATTATTTCTGATTGATTTCTTGTCATCAGAAGTAAGAAACAAAAGCGCAAACGAACTTATCAACAATCAAATGAACAACCGACTGTGATCGATCTTACTAATTCTGATGATTCGTGTAATAATAGTTTGACAGAACTAACAGTATCAACAACTAGAACTGAATCAATTGAAAATTTGCCAATATTCAATGTTTTGTCGTGGAATATTCAAGGTTTGGAGTCAACAAACCTAAACAAACGAATGATGTCTGTAGTGGAGACAATAAAGAAGTACATAATTTGTATTATATTCATATAAATCGTTTTCGTTTAGTAGTGTTATTTGAATGATTTTGTTTTCATTGTTCAAAGCCGTTTGACAAAATATTCTAATGAGACAAATTTTTTGCATATTGACATGTATTAAACAACTTGAGCGGATCCATCATTACTTCAACATTTAAACCAGTTTCATTCGACTCGTCAATTAGGTGCCATAAAAAACAAAGGTTTTTGGCTGTACATAATTTAGTCCAGACAAAGATGGGCTATCAACTGATTAACCCATTTTTCACAGCAAAATAGTTTTTCATTCATGTCATGCCCACGTTTGGTTTATAAAAAAATGTTTTCCTTTATTGACTTTTTACTTTAAACTCTTTTCAATAGAAATGTTTGTGTGCCGTACTTTTGTAATAGTATAAATTTGCCAACTATATATATGAAGTTTTTATGGGCGTACATGTGGAATTCTCAACTTATTGATCATAGACCTTCAGTGCACCCCCGACATTTCAACTAACCTGTTTTGGAAAGTCAGACAGTCACACCTATGGCACTCCATTTCTATTCCCCTTTGATCTGTGAGGTATTAAGGAAAGATATTATTTTCAAGTGAATACAATGAATTAAAGTAGTGAAATAGTTTCCAAGGCTACATCAAAATGGAATAAACTTCTAGTCAACGTGCAAATAAGTCGATCAAATGTATATTTTTCTTTATTGAATACACCCTAGCGAACAGAAACATTTTTTAGTTTACTAATAGAAATATTCAGTTGTGTGCATTTCGATCAAATCTATCTTAAGCACCCCTTAAACGTACAGCTATATGTTGGAAAGCCTTGTATAACTTCACGACTATGTTAGAGAATTTCATGTCATCACGGGGAAATAATCAACCGTATTATATTCGTCTCAAAGATGATAGGTGTTTGCCTTTTGAACTAGTTTTTATATTATTATTCAGGCTTCACTGAAGAAAGTAAATCAATGGTAATCTATAGAATGAATATATATGGCTTGAACTTTCAGTTTTAAGTCATGAACAAATGAACGTTATACTGACTTGGTAATCAATTTATGAGTTTGATAATGTCTTAACTTCTGACTGTCTTTCAGCCCACTTGACATTTGCGTGTTTGTATCGTTATTTCGTTATCCCAAAAATCCGTTAGCGTTGTTGCAACTTCTGATGTACTGTTTATTTTCCTTATTAACTAGATCATTTTGCAATATACGTTTCTGCACAAGACATAAATCATTTCACTTTAATGCTTTCTTTCCATTGGATTCCGTAAGACTAAATCTTTGAATATTCCTATATGCCAAAGCAAAAAACATTTTCCGAGAGATAATATTATTCTTAATAGATAGTTATTAAACTAATCGATTCAATGTAACATTTGTGTAATGCGTCACCTCATTACATTACTCATAAGTAACCATTGTTTTATCTCTCATTTCTATTGGTTAATCAGAACCTTACTATTACTTCGTTGGGAAATGTAATTATAGTAATCATTCGATCATACTCAACTGACAATTTTTCTCTGCATTTGCTTGACGTTAAGTGTTTCTTACGATAATTTCATCGCTTCGAATGTAAGTTTGTAAATTAAACTGAAATATAATTACATTAAAAAACTATGTATACATGTCGAAGCGCCTGTCTTCTGTCCTTTGACTTTATTCGATTTCTAGGTGGACGAGAGCGTCAGGTGTTTTACGCGGGTAAACTTTCAGACTGGTTTTTAGTCTAAATTTTTCACAAATAGTAACACTATTCACATCAGTTACATCATAAGATTTATTCGACTGATACTGTAGAAATACTGCAATCAAACTGTATTCAATGCAGTTATGCTTTATGTACATATTCACATCATTATTTATTTTTAAATTGATTTAGTTTAATATCATTGAATTCTGGACTTTTATCTCGTACTGTATGAAATTGTTTGCATGAAAATTGAAAAATTGATGTTCACTCAAACATTCCAAGGTGTTAGTAAATGAATAGTAGTTAAAGTGTTTAGGTGCATGATACTGGCTCTGTAGCTTTCTCTTTTCTAGAAATAGGTTTTGGACAAAATTTACTAATTTTATCAGTAGTTTAATACTTTCCGTTATTTGAAGATATGGTTTTCTCATGATTCGCTTTTAAAGTCACAGTTTATATAACCGTGTATACGGTCGCCTAAATTGATCATGTGAACTGAATTAATTGAATAGGTTGACTACTTCACTTTTCTTCGAAGTTGTATTAACTCTTGGGTTGATAACTGGTAAAATTATCAACAGAAATTCAAAGATCTCAGTTGTCCTTTCTCAAATTCCATCACTAGTGGCGTAAGTAAGATGTCTATCTCCCAACCAAAAGATGAGTAGACTGTGCGGCAGTCCGCTCTAGTTTACTGTGAAACATGGGCTTTGAAAGTTAAAGACATGTTTCAACTGATTAATTTTGATCATACGTTTCTATGAAGCATCAATAATCTATCGTAGAATAACTAACTAAGCAATATTGAGGTTAAGCAAAGATGACGAATTGGTCAACGAAGTTGTAAACCTTCATTAACTAAGATGACTGGGACTTGTGGTGCGTAGGTCTAACCACTGCGTACTTCAACAGGCAATAATAGCTAGTATAGAAGTACACTGGAAAGAAACTAGTGGGAGTTGCAAAATCAAAATTTAGCATCAGTCCATCAAGTCTTTAAATTGACTGTACAGTGTTTTTAGATGCAGACTACCTAGTAGGAGTCTGCACAATTACTGCGGTCAGTGGTTGATGTTGGATAATATAACTCAGAATTGTTGACAATGATGCAAATACGTTCACTCTTTGTCTTCCTCCGTATATTTATCCTCAATATTCCTTCATATATACCTTATTATTATTATTATTATTATTATTATTATTATTATTATTATTATTATTATGCCTTTTTGAATTATATTCTGAATGTTTAGTTTTTTAAAAAAAATTATAATTGTTACTGCATTATTTCAACTCCTTTGTTATTTATCTTGTTAGTTTCACCTTTCCGTGATAATGTGGTATAGTAAATTTGAGCAACACATTATTCCTAGGCTCTACTTTTGTTATCACAGATTGACTTGTAAAACCACCTAGACTGAGGTAAAAAGGAAGTAATTTTCCTTGACAAATGAAAAGCTTTCTTGTGAATACAGACTGACCAAATTTCGGGACAGATAATTGTCTTATTTTAACTTAACTATCTGTTTTTCAGATGGTTCAAAATTCGAGATCCATTTTGTTAGGATTCCTAGTGTGTATATTGCGAAGAAATTCAAATATATAACAAAACAAAATGACATCTCGTTTTTTTAAGATTTAAATTGTTTTTAACCTATATCAGTTGATGAGATTTATTTTGGTATTGACAGATAATTCTCATTAAAACATTAAAAATTATAATCATGAAGTTCTGCGAAGGGATTTTTTGAACGAATTTATTATTATCAATTTACTTATTATCAAGCTGTACAATCGTATATATATGAAATTTTTTGTTAAAGTACTAATTATTATCATTATTATTACTGCATTCCCCCATTACTTACATCTTATATTCCCATTATTTTATTCATAAATGCTCATCATATCACCTGATTTATTTATACACCTCTATGACCTTTAATTATTGTAACAAAAATTCAAGTTATAACTCGTTACTAACTTATTAAGTCGATTGTTGTTATTTTTGTTACGTAATCTAGTATTATAATCTTTCTATTACGTCATCTTGGTTATTCCATGTTCATATTTCTTCACGGAATTAGTCCTTTAACAAAAAAAATTTCATATTTATACGATTGCACAGCTTGATAATAAATTCGTTGGAAAGAGATCCCTTCACAGAACTTCGTGTTTTTATTTGGATATGGTACGATTTGAATTATTGCAATAAGTATTCAACAGCTTGTTATATATATAGCTTCAAATAACATCGATAAAATACATATCTATCTATTTTTATACTTGCGTTTCCGATAATTTGCATTTATACCCTATTCGACTGATTTTCATATTTTTTAGAGAAGAATTCCATGTAGTTTGCTTACAAGAAGTTATACTTGTCTGTTTGGAAATTCTCCATGAGAAGCTAGATTCAACGTATGATATTTTTTCTGCATCTGATCATAACTCTCTATGGGATTATTTTGTTGTCATTTTAGTTAAAAAGCATCCAGATATAAAGGTTGACGCGGATTCTGTTAGTGTAAGCGATAACTTTTGTGTTTTTGTTTTTTATTTATCCATTCATTTTTTCCTTACATCTTTGATTTCACAGTTGACTGAATTATCAGTTTTAATTTCAAATTTGATATGAAATACAGGGAAACTTTCACAGGTATTGTCCTTGTAGTATTCGAATTTGATTTTCTATATCGGAAAGCTATTTTTTCTATTGAGATTCTAACTGATATTTCGAATTAAAAAAGTGAAGTAAATTACGAAAAGTAAATAGTTTTAATTATAGTTGGTGTAAACAAATACTTGACTATTAGTGAGAAGTAAACATTTAAGGTATCCATTTCCGGACCTCGTTAAAAAACAAGTATTTATTGTTGTTTGAAGGTATCAGGTAGTGTATTAATAGCTTATTTCAAGCGAGGAATTTCGAACCTCACCGATACTGCAAAATGTGTTTACTCGCTTTTCCGGTTTTATTTACTTCATTATATAAAACAATCCATTACGAGTTGCTCTAAGATGAATGTCGCGAAGTTCTGCCGAAAATTTTTATATTAGTCATCTTTTTAATCGAGTCGAAAGTTTGGACTGAGGTTAACCTTAAATCTTTAACTTACTGAAAATCGAAGAAATCTTCAGGATCTATTAGGATTCTAATACAGTACCTGATGAGTACTTATGTATGTATTTCTGATAAATTTCATACTTATATGAAACTTAATCAATCCTTACTTATTTTTAGTGATTTTTCATCTGGTATCAGTTCATCATGAAAATTGATAAAAGTAGATATTATATGATGATTGATATTGATGTTTGCCTGTCCGATTGAAAGGAGTAACCAATCCAAAAAACATCAAGTCTTTCGATCACATATCAATATAAAGTGGTTAGAATATTTAAACTGAATGATTGTCATTGACACAAAACGTCGTAATCTACTGTAAGAGAACTTCAAAATAATTAGTATCGATTTTCTTTTCATAGGTTATACTTTGACATCAGACATTCCCAACAGTTGCCCCTTCAAATTCTCTGATAGTCTTCTTTTATACTTTAATCCATTGAAATGCTTGTGCCCGTGATGACGTTTGAAACTACTTCGTCATTGCTTACTAGATTATTATCGCTGATAAGTATAAACGAGGCAAAACCACCCATAGATTATTCCCAATTTAATATTCCTCTTAAAATAATAATAAACAATCACTTCATTTTTGAAACTATTGAATAATCACGAGGAATGAAATGATTTTTATTGATGGAAGGGGTAAAACTATTAAGGAACCACGACCGCTAGTCGAATTATATTTTGAAAAAACACGATCAGGTAACTGTAACTACTGTTGTGTCCTATTCTTACTTGACTAATTAAAAACTATCGCTAAAGCCAAATATTTTGATTACTACGTGTAAATCTGAATTGATGTACTTTACAATATTCAATCTTCAATGACAAGTTACCATTTCAGGCTTTCTGATAGAAATTTTGGTTCAAATAAAAGCTTTTTTATTCCTGAGAAAGCATGTTTTTTAATCTTATTTACATTTCCACTAATAAAGTAAAGAGTTTCAACAGTTACTTGTTACCAATTGTTTTTTTTTTGTATTTTGTTTTCCTTCACAACATAATATACAAATAGATATAAATAGTGATGTTATGATTTTTATTTTAACTAATAAATTATAAATAAAAATCATCTCAAACTGAAAAGATCACACGTCACCCGAGTAGATTGTGATGTAGGTAGGTAGGTTTTTCTTTTTTTTTGTTCTTCAGTGAATTTAATGTGCAATGATTTACTTTCACAAGATTCATTCAACTATCTTGTATCTGCCAATTTTATTTTCCACTTGTGTTTTAAAAAGTAATTTAAACCTGTTATCTGTATTATTTAAATGTTTTGACGTCAAGAGTTTATGTTGATGAAATCATTTTTATGTGTGGGACTAAACAGATATTCAGTGCTTTTTAAGTTGCACTGACTTTTCAGTTAACATTAATTCATGATTGAAACTATCAGTGTTTTTCTTTAAAATTATTTCCTTGATACAATTCTTATCTTTAGAAGAATTCTATTCATCAAATTATTTCTTAACCATTAAGCTAACCTTGTTGCAATGGTGTGGTACACAGGTATTTTTCGCAATTTTATTGTGTAACATAAAAGCACAACTAATTACTTTACATATGCGTCGTAATATTCAAAAAAAATTTAATTGTGTTGTATTAAATAACTGTAAACAAACGCCTACGTCAGAGATTTATTAATTTTAAGAACTCAATTTATTGTGTACATTGAATTGTTAGTTATTTCTTTTATGACAATAAAAATTACATTTAATAAACTATTAATTACCGATTCCAGTTCATTTTTTAAATTTTCTATATTTATTTACTTTGAAGAAGTTATTTACATTAAGTCAATAAAACACCAGAAATACAATTTTCTACTCATTTGGTATATCATTAAAATAAATATTTATTATTAACATTATTGTTTGGCGAAAGATCACTCAGAATAGAATTCTCTAAAAACTGTATCACGAGTTCATTAGTTCCAGATAGTAATTAGTTACTTGAATTGGACTCGAATCACTCAAATGTTGATAATATGCTTCATCAAAATATTGATCCATTGTTTTTACTAACTACTTTTCAATACTTGTTTATATAATCAAAATAATAGAAAATAAAGGTCTATTTACCTGAAAATTGCAATCTTAATGTACTATTAATAATAGGATTTGGTAAAACACTTTCGTACACTTCATTGTTCTACCTCTTACATTTGTGTTTTTTTTTCTTTATTCACTTACTTAGATTCAACCATTTCCTAATTCTGTAATGAATCGCCATCTACTATCTATTGATCTGAATTTATCACAGTTTCTATCCAAGTCTAATGTAGAATTAAATCTACGAATATTTACTGCACACTTGGAAAGTTGTGCAGAATATTCTGGTGAACGGGTGACTCAATTGAAAAGTGTTTGGGATACAATGTCCAGTTATGTCAAGTGTGGCGATTCTCAAGCTCGTTTAAACAAAAGCCGTGCAAGTATATTTTGCGGTGACCTTAATCTGAGGGATTCAGAGGTAGGTTCTGTCGCTACCTTTTTTCATGACTTCAATTAACAGTAACTATACTAAGGGTTATTCGATTTCATCATTATTCAGTCAACTTACTATGTATGATATCGTAGAGGATTGCTTAATGAAAAACTACCGAAAATATTTTAATTATGACGTACCTGGAAGAAATAATCCTATTCTAGAGTAAATTTTAGACTAAATGAAACGAACGTTTCCTCACCCTTTCGTTTCACTTACTAGTAGATATCACAACTGTTTCCACAGCTTTTTGGATATCATACCAAGCTATCTCAAGGGTATCATTCTTTCGGCTGATTAGCTCATTCTCCAGTTGTTCCTGAATTATATCTTTAACTTTCTCGTCATTAAGTTGTACACCAAGGGTTTTTCTTGATGTGGCTTTTCTCCGCCCATCAAGATGCAGACAAATATGTGTTTGGACTATAGTATAATCCGGATTCAAACCTGTGCTCCAGAATGAACAAGGCTTCTATCGAGTCCCTCTAACGATGATTAGTGTCGTGATCTATTTGAGTAAATTGTATAGTTTGCCACGTCAGATGATGTTCCTCATGTTTAAAGTTGTTGTTTCTTTTTTAAAGTAGACTGTTATCTGAGCATGGTTGCAGTGGACGATTGCCACTATCTGTTCACTGAGCGGCGACATTGTAGGACCCATTTAGGAGCTTTTTGGTCCAATTCAGTCAACTTACTCGAGCATTAAAATCACCTATCACTATTACTGCATCATAGCGTTTAGCCTTTTGAAGGAACCTAAATAACCTCGTGGAATTCATCTTTTACTTTATCCGAGCTGGTCAATATGAGCGTAGATTGGATGTTTCTGCTCCATATTTTAACTAATTACGTACGGAATATATTCACTGCAGATTTAGATTCGAGATTATACGTGATTGGTTGCCGCATCTTATTTTATGTACGAAAAATCAACTTATTAACACCTAGAGTATGTATCATCAACAATAAGATTAATTTAATTGCGAAATTAGTTTTCTTCGTTAGGTAAACTCTTCGCCATAGAGAATCAAAATCATCTTTAAATTTACTTGGAGTGTTATACCCCTATTGGTTTTACTTTAGTAAATTCAAAAATTATAAATGAAATTCAAACTGAATTGTAAGTCGTATTTAAAGTGGTGTTTTAGTCCGATTCATTACTTCCAAAATGTTTACTTGTAGCACCGAACCATAGCTTTCTATATCTTGTTGGTGCCTCAGGTTCTCGCATACATGCTCTAAGTAAACGTGTTTTAATTAACTCTGTCATGTGATTATATGGATGATCTTCCCAAGTACACCATAGCGTCGAAGAAGGTTGCGTAAGGTTCTCTTACCCACGCTGGCAAACGCTTTCTCATAATCAATGAAGTTGATGTGTAGTGACGAGTCCCATCCGATTGATTGTTCAACGATGATCCGTAGTGTCGCGATTTGGTTTGTGCACGACCGATCCATACGAAATGAAACTTGTTGATCTCGAAGCTGGACGTTTACTGAATCTTTCATCTGTTTCAGCAACACTCTGTTGAAGACTTTTACTGGTACCGATAGTGTGATGCCTCTGTAATTTTCTCATCTAGCTTTGTGTATGCGTCTGTGGGGGAATATTGTGCCACCTATAACCATTTTGTTAAAAATCTCATCATTTTCGTTCATTCTCCTAGTCGTTGTCATCTTAACATATATTCCAACCCGGTATTGTCCATTCCGACTTTGGCATTTAAATCTTCTATCAGGATAGTCAGGTTGTTTCATGATCACTTCACTATGATCATTTGCAGCTTCTCGTAAAACTGATCTTTTTCGTCGTCGTTTCTCTCATTAGTGCGTGCATGACATTGGATAATATTCATTGTGATTCCCTCCTCCTTTGTTTTGAATGATGCTTTGATGATCCTGTGTCCATGAGATTCCCGTCCTATGAGAGCTTGTTGTGCTTCTTTGAACAGCATCAGTACAGCTCCTTGTGTGTGCGAGGCATTCTCTTCTCCATAATCAGAGTACAACAACACCTCTTCTGAAGTTAATCTTTTGTGTCCAGCTTGATTCTGATGGGTTTCACTTATTCCGAGAACCGTTAGGTTATATCCTTATTTTCTCAGCCGTTTTCTAGAAAATCACTCCACCTTCTCTTTCTGGGCTTGTGCTTGGCAGTATCCCCAGATTTTCTACAGTTCTAGTTCTTATTTGTTTATGAACCATTGCTTCATTTTTCTGTCAACACGTTTTCACTAGATTTAAAAGCAGTTCTGATCGAATAAACAAATTAATTTAATTTTCTTATGTGTTGTAGTTTTCGTGAGTTTAAGTTTTCAGCTTCAGTTTATTTCTTGTTAATCTGGTGGGTCTGCCAAATGTTTGTCGTTTTTTCTATTTAAACCAGACAGATGTATTTTCTATTTTTATCACTATTCTGTATGTATTTTAAAAATCGGCTACACTAGTTATAGGAAGGTACTTTAGACTACATAAAGTATTTTTCCTTCTTATCCATTATAATAAATGCCTCATAATCGTAAATGACCTTTTATCCCTTCCGTTTTATACCCAATTCTTTATACACATGAACACTTCATGGAGATTTGTTATTATTTATTTCTTACTTGGTTTTTCACATGACTTATTTCGTGCTTTTAGTACCCAGGAATTTACAAGAAATGTAGCCTCTGATCTTTTCCCAGAAATCGCTGTGTCGTAATCAAATGTTTTGATTTATCTGTTTTATGTATCTATCCTTGATTTATAATGTGCTGTATTCATGATTGTCTTTCTACATTCGTAGGTCGGCGTGTTAGGTGGCTTACCTTGTGGGATACATGATGTATGGTATGAATGTGGACGTCGCCATGAGATAAGGAATACTTGGGACCCTATGCACAACCTAAATGCTCGACGTCAATTCAGAGGTATTCCTCGAGCTCATATGACTTTCCGATATGATCGCATGTATGCGTTAGGCTCCAGATTAAAACCCGTTGATTTTGGCCTTCGTGGAATCGAAAAGGTTAAGAATCTTCCGTGTTTACCTTCTGATCACTGGGCTATACTTGGTCGATTCTTATTAACTGGCTTGTAATCTTCAATGTTCTATTCCTTGTGAACCACTTCTCGCATTTAAAAACGCAGAGTTCTCTTTTTTTCACTCAACAGTTGTGTATAAAAACAGATGCTTAAATGAATATTTTCAATTTATTCCTATTTTTGAGCATACAGCTACTTGCTATATATCAAATAACAGTTCTATTTAAATCTGCATATACAGTAAGGTTTTACCTTACGATATTATTTCACTCTTCAGTATCAGTTAGATAAGCAGTCTGCAATTAAAGTTCTGGTTACAGCTAAATGGCATTGAATGCACCTTTATTGCTGCGCGCAGTTTGGTGTTCCAAAACTGATATGAACTGTGTAGGTTTCAAAAATTTAGGTTTAAATAGCGTAGTTTCGCTGATCAAGATTAATGTTTTGAGTTGTTTTTGACTCAGTCGCAAGTAACAACTTAGAACCTCAAGTCTTCATTCAGTTACAAGTCCTACAAAATTATTAAAGTGACTGTTTCCACACATTTCGAGTGTAGTTACGATATTCTTGTAGTCGATAACAACAAAGCGTATGTTTACCAACGTTCTAATACTTCTGAATGAATTTAGCGTAACTGGAAATTCGTACACTTTAGAGGTACTTTTTGAAACCAAGTTATTTTGTGGAGACTCATGTGCGTTTGTGGTACTCTTTGTCAACTGGTAGTCCTAGTGAGATATGTTCTGTAGTTGTTTAATTTACATCTTATTCTACACGAGAACGTTTCATAAAATTTAATTAAAGTCTTTCCGCTCATGAGTTCCTTTGATAACCTTCATATTATTAGCTTCACCTTAGCAGTCATTCAATGTCCCGAGACATTCTTGAAGTTCATTCCCTTCCTTTTGAGTAAAATTACCAGCGAAACTAGTGGATAGATCTCTACCGCTATATTACCAGAAATTGTATACAAGACAGCACATATTTCCCAAAAAGCATTAATTGCTTAAAACGCTAGCAGTCATAAATTTAAGCGCTTATCCGTCAGCTTGAAATCAAAGAATATATTGTCGCTAGTATAAAGAAAAGTAATCTGACTATGCTGATTACCTTCTCCTGGGTATATCATAGTGAGTTCTAATTCTCCAAAGTAAAAATTTGTAGAAACTCCGCATTTATTAAGATCACCAACGTTGTTGCTCTTTTGAATGAAGATATGTTCTTCATTTTCTCTTTCAAAGTGTTGCTTTCAAGCGCGTGAATATTTTGACTGTCGTAAACAAGAGAACAAAGCTTGTGGAGTGACATACTACTACTGATATATATTTCGATATTTAAGTTAACAGCAATCTCACTCAATTATTTTGAAATAATGCGACTAACATTGGTAGATAGGACTCCACAAATTAAGCAATCTAGGTTGCGTGAATATCACACAACAATTGATTATATGATGATGCAACAGGTCAGTTATAGTGACTGCAATTCCGGAAAGTGCCGTTATTCTAGTTCCACCTGTAGCTCATCTAGAGTTATTGCCGGTCACAAGCCCAAGTATAGGAGGAGGGTTGAGCATGGGGTTAGTGACCTCATCCCATAGAAAACTAACTCTTTAAGACAACGATGACCAATAAAAATAATCCGAACACACAAACTCGGCTCTGGAATTTAGAAGCCTTATGACGCCTCATAGTAAAAGTCGGGTTCCTGCGGAAGTCAGGAGGACGATGCCACTTCTAGCAATTGAAACAACGATTGGCATAGGCACTTGTAACGTACAGACGATGTGGGAAACCGGGAAGATCAGTCAAGTAGCAACGAAAACGAGGAGATTCAAATTGGAAGTACTGGGAACACATTTTACTTAAACTGGACAACAAAGGTTAGATACGGGAGAGATGCTGCTGTACACTAGTCACGGAAAAAGAAATACTCCACCCAGTCAGGGAGTTCCTCTAAAGCCGCCCAAAGAAACACGTAATGCACTTGTAGGATGGGAATCTCACGGATTCAGAGTCATTGAAGCATCCTTCAAAACAAAGATGTAGGGAATCACGTTGAATGATATCCAATGTTATAAACCCACCAATGATAGCAACGACGACAATAAAGATCAATTTTATCAGTGGCTGTAATCAGTCAGAGCGAAATGTTCAAGAAAGAATCTCACCACCCTGATGGGAGACCTTAACTCAGAAGTCGGAATGGACAACACCGGATATGAAGAGATATTGAAACGACATGGACTGACTGGAAGAAAGGAACGAAAACGAGGAGAGATTCGTAAACCTATATGCAATCAACAAATAAGTTATGGCGCCACATTATTGCCACACAAACGCGTAGACAGTGCTACATGGATCTCACCGGACCACACTACGGACAACCAGATAGGTCATATTTGCATCCATAAAAGACTTCGAAGGACAATGCAAGATGTGAGAACCAGGGGAGGAGCTGATTTAGCTTCAGATCATCACCTGGTGGTGGCCAAGATGAAACTACAGCCAGAGAAACACTGGACAAACAGCATTACAAAGGTTCATCACAGCCTTCCAACGAGAAACTAACAAACTCAATGAATTCAAGATGACTTCCAACAACAGGTTGCAAGCCTTACAGGATACACTGAAATAAGAAGAAAGTACTATGGAGGATGACTGGAAGGGAAGTGAAGAAGCATTAAATTCAACATGTCATGAGGTGCTTGGCTGCAAGAAGCATCATCATAAGGAAGGGATCTCTATCGAAACCATGCACAATATTCAAGATAAAGAAGTACAAGAAGACAGCAATTAACAGCATTCAAGGCACAAGTTAAATACGCAGAAGCGAGCAAGCAAGTGAAGATGAGCATTGGCGCTGGCAAGCAGAAATACGTGGAAGAGATGGCTATGACAGTGGTAAAAGCTGCAAGAGAAGGAAATACGAAACAGCTATATAACACAACAGAGAAACTAGTAGGGATGGCCATCAGACGAATCAAGAGTGGGAAAGCAGAAGGACCTAACGATACACCAGCTGAAACTCGGTAATCAGACATGGAAGTAAGTACCAATGTGCTTCACGTCCTATGCAGAAATATTTGGAGGGAAAAACAAGTACAGATGAACTTGAACGACGTACACTTCACCAAGATCTCAAAGAGAGCAAATGTGAGAACTTTAGAGGAATCACACTACATTCGTACCAGCAAATGTTTTTAACAGTGTTAGTGAAACAGATGAAAGATTCAGTAGACACCAAACTTCGTGATCAAAATGTTTCATCCCGTGACGATCAGTCGTGCAAAGACTCAATCGTGACACTACGGGTCATCGTTGAACAATGATTTGAATGGAACTCGTCACTATCCATCAACTTCATTGATTAAGAGGAAGCGTTTGACAGCGTGAAGAAGAGGACACACGAACAAATGAAGGTCAATACAGTCAATGTACCATCAGATTCTGCATCAATAGGCCTCAACATACACAAGGGGAAATGCAAGATCCTGAACTACAACCCAAACAACTACACAATCACACCTAATCCACGTTCAGCGCTTCCCGATTAAATTTCTCAGCTCGCAACCTGGCTAGGTAACCCTTGTTGGGAGCCGCAAATGACTTGAAAGCTTGGCAAAGACCTATATGCTGACCCAACAGGATGCAATATATTTATACGGAGATAAATAAGAATAACCAATAATATTTTATGTTTAACATAATAACTGTAAGAGCGAGTCACGCTACTTGTCACGGCATAATAAATATTACTTTTTACATGCGAAAAAGGATGATTGAAGTTTGTTTATTTACATCAACTGTAAGCTTAGACATTTTAAATATTTGCTGATAACATGGACGAAGCTCACGCGTTCCAAATTGAAAGCATAAACTGCTTATATATGAACGCCGCGAGTCTACCAAACAAACTGGATGAACTACGTGAACTTAGCAACGCTAATAAGGCCCATCTGATAGGAATATCTGAAACCTGGATATCTTCTCAGTTCTCGGACCAAGAGTTAGCATTACCTGGGATGACTTTGTTCCGCAACGACAGAAAAATAGGAATTGGGGGCGACGTAGCCATATACATAAGCTCTTGCTTGGAGGTGCACCATGTTCACAACCTCGAGTTTAACAATCTTGAGGAATCTATATGGTGCTCTGTAAGATTGTCTAGTACTTCCAGATGTCTAGTCGGAGTCATTTACAGGAAGCCAACTGCCGACACCGAGTACGATAGTCGTATGCTGGAAGGACTATCCCGCTCTATCCGTCTCGGTTTCACACACATCCTGATTCTAGGGGACTTAAACCTCCCTAGAGTCAACTTCACGGAACACACGTACACTGGAGGCGACAACTCAATTGAAGCTCGGTTCTTCAACCTCATCGATGACTTGGGCTTATATGAAAATGTGAGGTCGGCAACTCGTTGGAGAAACAGTCAGACTCCATCGCGCTTAGACTGTGTATTCACTAACGAAGAATTCCTAGTCGACAACCTCTCAATCCTGGCTCCTCTGGGAAAAAGCGATCATGCCGTCATAGCCTTCAGTTTTGTCATCAAAACTAAGCTAAGGTATCCCAACAATAATTTGCGTTGGAATTTTAAACCACTGAATGTGCCAGCTCTACATGACTATTTACAACAGGTGGTTTGGGATGTTCACCCTCAACTCGATGTGGATGGTCATTGGGACTTCTTACTGCACACGCTCTTATGTGCTACAGACCATTCAGTTCCTCAAATGGTTCCCAAAAGCTGCAAGCCACCTACAGTAATCAAGAACCGTACCCTTCGCCTGCTAAGCCGCAAAAGGCACTGTTGGGCGGAATACAAACAAACTAATAACGATGGAGCGTATAGGCAATATAAACATATCAGGAACATATGCATGAAGGCTATAAGAGAAGACAGGCTTCAGTACCAAACAAAGCTTATGGACAAATTCGCCTCTAACCCTAGAAGCCTATTCCGTTATGCAGCCTCTCTTCGTCAAGCAAAAACAGGAGTTTCTCAACTGCTACGTCTTAACGGCCCGACCAACAACGATGGCGACGCCGCTAACCTTCTGGCGGCACATTACTCTCAAACATTTCAACCGGCTGACATCAACTTTATTGACGACAGTTTCATCTGCAATTCCACAGGACTTTCTGAAGTGGACCTAAGCGCTGACTTGGTGTTCCGGAAATTGCAGCACTTAAGACTTGACACTTCTCCTGGCCTGGATATGGTTCATCCTGCCATACTGAGGGAGGCAGCCTCAATCCTGGCAACGCCGCTTAGCGTGATGCTTTCACACTCGCTTAGCCGAGGCAAATTACCGGAAAATTGGAAGTTGGCTCACATCACACCAATTTTCAAAGGTGGTCGACACAATGAACCTTCAAGTTATCGGCCGGTGGCTCTTCTGTCATTACCTTCAAAACTCATGGAGTCCCTGATATGCGACGGTTTAAATGACTATCTACTGTCCTTAAATTTCTTCTCACCCCAACAGCATGGTTTCAGGAAGGGTTACTCTTGTACAACCAACCTGCTGGCTGCGGTGGACAGATGGACAAGCATCCTCGATTGCAAGGGAAAGGTTGATGTCATTTACCTTGATTTCTCAAAAGCTTTTGATAAGGTTAACCACTTGTGTCTTATCAACAAGCTCAAACGACTAAGTATCAAACCACCTCTAATCGATTGGCTTACTTCATACCTAAAAAATCGACACTTTAAGGTTAGGGTTAATTCCACTTTATCTCAGGCTATGGAATGTCCTAGTGGGGTTCCCCAGGGCTCAGTACTAGGGCCTCTTCTCTTCTTGATCTACATAAATGATCTTCCTCAACAGGTAACGTCAGACTTACTACTTTTTGCCGACGACGTGAAACTTTGGAGAAAGATACGCAACCAAGACGATACACAGGAACTTCAGGAGGATCTGACGCGACTTCAAAGTTGGGCAGACGATAACGGACTTACCTTTAACACTTCAAAGTGTAAAGTAGTCCATCTGCGACATGTCGCAAACTACACTTACAACTTAGGAAACTCCTCTGTAGTAGTATCCCGAGTCGAAAAAGATTTAGGAGTCCTGGTGCCCCATGGCTTAAAGTCTTACGCTAACTGTGACAAAAATGCCTTCCGAGCAAACCTTGCAATGGTAACGTTGAGGCGCATTTTTGGCCAGTTTGACGGAAGAACTTTCCATATAATCTTCAATAGTTTCATCCGTCCCCATTTAGAGTACGGAAACATAGTACTCCCCCCTCACTCCAAAAGGACAAGGTCACTTTGGAGCGTATCCAACGGCGAGCCACGAAATCAGTTCGAGGACTCAAATCTAAGCCTTACGAAGAACGCCTCCGTTCACTAGACCTTTACCCACTAGAATAAAGGCGTCTTAGAGGTGATTTATTAATGGCTTATAGTATTCTTAACACTTCTGGACATCCTCTTAAACACCTACTTAAGCTTAGTTCGAATAATAACCTAAGGGGTAACACCCAGAAACTGGAAACACAACATAGCAAGACGGAATGTAGACACAACTTCTACTCCTTAAGAGTTGTCAAGAGCTGGAATTCGCTGCCGGCCGAGCTAGTCCAAGCGACTTCTCAGGAGTCCTTCAAGAGGCAACTTGACCTATTCTTAAGAACCAAGGACAACATCACACTATGATTTACCAATTTCTTTTCCTCTTTTATTGTTAACATACCTAGGTTCCTGCCTGGAGGATTTCGTGATCCCCTGCTACTAGACGCGGAAGCCTGTTAAGCGAAAGCTTCTTCTATTCCGTCCACAACCATTTGAACCATTTGAATTGAATGTTGCGTAAAACAGCGGAGGGTTTGTGTCTTGCGATACGGTACAGTCCACTTCACTGTGTACTAAATAAAAATTGAAAGCTTACCATTAGTCATTAAGAGTTTTAAATTATTTATTATTAGAAATTTCACATACCAATAAATGTCCGTCTAGAAAGACTAGATTCTTTTACTTTAGTGCTTATTATGAATAGGCATATGACGTTTAAGATATAATTCTGGTTGCATATTGTCACGTAATGTTTGAAGAAATTTATTTCCTTTCTATGAATCTGCCGCAAAACTGGCTCACCAGCATAATAATTACCGGAGACCAATTCGACACCCGTAATGTCAAAACTATTATTATGATGTCAACGACTCGTCTTATATGTGCTAATATTCATTGCGTTTTTCTTTCTATCTGTGGTTATCGTTGCTTACACGGCCGATAGATTAACCAAGTTCGGAGGGAATTGTCTGTCGAATTTTATTTTCGTAGTTTTTTCAGATTTGCTAACTCTTGATTTTTAAGGATTTTGAGTCTATCTGACTCAGTATAACGTTGTAATTCATCTTTCTAAGTGAAGATAAGAAGATCTGTGATAGTACCAAACGTTGTTAGTGTTATTCAAATTGAACTTATGCACATGTCAAAAGGAGAACGCTTACCCGTTTCATGAACTATGTCATTATCAGTTTCAGTTTGGAAAGGACAGGAGGCTTGATGGCCTGTGTTAGTCCTGGCAGTGGTGGTCTCTCAGTTGATCCAACTCTCTTTTGAAAGAGTCGACGGGTAGAGCTGAGGTAATGAATTCCAGTCGTTGATTATTCGATGGGAAAGTCGATAGTCAGCTGACAAGTAATTTGTTCTGGGCTTGTGAACTTTTTTGGTGTGTTCTCGTAAATTCTCTGTTTTGGAAAACAAGAAAAATGAGGGTATATCAGGTGCAAATTTATCACTAGGCAATTAGAAAACTAATCAAGTCGCCTCTAGTTCTACGATATGACAACGGGAAAACGTTCAGCTTGACCAGTCGAGCATCATACGGAAGCTTCGCTATTCCTTGGATCAGTTTAGTTGCTGTTCTCTGAACCTTTTCCAGAAGCTCACTGTCTTTTTAAGCAGGGGCTAGCCGCTTGTATGCAGTACTCAAGTTTAGGACTTACGAACACTGTATACAAAGTCAAAAACGTTTTAGCGTCGACATGACTAAAAGCTCTACGTACTGACCATAACGTTCTAAAACCTTTGGCGGCTATTGCAGGGCAGTGCGCAGTAGTCTTTAAGTCTTGGCTAACGATGACTCCTAAGTCATCATCTGTCTGGACGACAGGTAGCTCAGTGTTATTCATCGTGTATGTATCTGTGCCTTGATGACCGATATGCATCACAACACACTTGAAAGTATTTATCGGCAACTGCCAGGTTTGAGACCATTCAGCTAATTTCTTCATGTCATTTTGGAGTTCCAAGCTATCACCCTCACATCGTATCGTTCTCCATATCTTGACATCGTCAGCATACAGCAAGACCGATGATGATAGGAGACGAGGAAGGTCATTTACATACCAGAGAAATAGCACTGGCCCCAAAACTGTACCCTGGAGCACTCCACTAAGCACAGTTTCTCAGCTAGATAACTTTAAGGTCACCCGTACTCTGTTGGCGCCCAACTAGGAAGTCTTTTTTCAGTACTGTCTACCCATAGTGCAGGAATATTTCCTCTTCTTTTTGTCCTTTGGTTTATATAAGAACACAAGCGTTTGGGACATTCTATGGATTCCTTAACAATTTTCTCTTCGTACAACTTTCTAGACTAACGGAGGGTCGAGGCACAGGTATTCCAAGCTTTTCGATACTGAGATTTTGTCTCATCAGTCCCTAAACCTATCCCACATTTTTCTTCTCTTACGGAGAAGGATGCGAACCTCCCTACTGAACCACAGTAGAGAGTTTCTCGGCCCCCTTGGTGTAGTTCAAGGGATGTGGGATGCAGTAATTTTTAAGTATAAATTTCGAAATGCGTCCCAAGCCCTTTCAATTGAGCACTCTGGGTCTATTGTCCAATCTACTAACGATGCCGAGTGCACGATATCTGGTATGTTTGATTTCCAGACGTTAGGTCTGGATAGAGCTAACGCGTGCTCGTGATTGACAGTTATATGGAAGTCGAGAGTTAAAACTGCGTGATCGCTTCTACCTAGGGTTGGCATGTAATGGAGGTTCGCAACGTCATCCTCATAGTGAGTCAATATAAGATCTAGTAAGGATGATTCAGTGTCCGGGTCGTACCTAGTCGCTTCTTTCACATGTTGCACTAGGGCACATGTGATAACCGCATCAACTTGTTCCTGCTCGAAGGAATTTTCTGACGATTCAGTTGGCAGATTTTCCCAGTCTACCATAGGTGCATTAAAGTCCCTTAGGATTAGACATCGACCACTTTGTGACCAAGTATTGGGACTGCTTAGCAGGACCTCATTTACCTCACAGCTTGGACGGCGATAGACCAAACCAATCAGCAGTTCTTGCCTCTTGCATTTCAAGCGGCAATTAACTAATTCACACGTCCCACTCTCATGGAATACACTGTCGATAATGGTTAGTGGAATGGCATTTCTAATGAATAGAGCTACTCCCATTCTTTACACTTTTGTGTTCTGTCGGCCCTTACTAAGGTAAAACTCTCGAAATCAAGTTCCATACTATCTATAGACTGTGTCAACCAGGTTTATGTGACTGCGATTATGTCTGGCTTTGCAACTTATTAGACTGGATGAATTATATTCTGGGAGTATTTTCACTATCCTCCGATTCTGTGTAGATTTCTGGAGAATATTAGAGAGACTTTTATTTATAGGCAAGATGTGTAAAGAAGAGTTGCGAAAAATGTTTAGGATCTCCATATTTATATGTGAGGATTTATTTCGTGTTGTTAATATATAATAGCATTTTTTCCATTTCGCTGCAGTTTCAAGCTATATCCTGACTTATTATTTACTACTCTATCTCTTTTTGTTAACGAGTTACAGTAACGAACTAATTAACCTACCACTCTATTTCTTGTACCTTGGGGAACTTCACTGTTTACAGGTACGCACAAGGAGAGAGCTCCATTAACCCTTACCCTTTGTCTCCTGTCATTTGGAAAGTTACTTATCCAATCTACAACTGTATAATGGATTCCAAAACGTTACAGTTTGAATTTAAGACCAGAATGGGAGACCTTATTGAAGGCCTTACTTAGATCAATGAAGATCACATCTACAAGAATATTCCGATCTTTTATCGCAGCCCAATCTTCTTTTGCAATGAGAAGATTTGTCAAGTATGATAGGCCTCTCCGAAAACCATGTTGCTCCCTGGAGAAAAGATTATGCCCTTCAACATAGTTTATAATAGATATTCGAATGATTTTTTCCATCAGTTTTACAACCGTACTAGTTAAGCTAACGGGTCTATAGTTACTAGCATAGTCCCTACTCCCAGCCTTATACAGCGGACTTATTATAGTGTCTTTCCAGTCTCTTGGCAGTCTGGACTGCCTCAGAGACATGTCAAACAGTATCGTTAATGGTTCAGCAATTACATCTGATATGGTTTTCATAATCCTAGGATGAATATCATCAGAACCACTGGACTTATCAGGTTTGAGATGCTGAAGTATCCTTAAGACAGTACCTTTCTCAATGACTACAGCGTCCGTCAGCGAGCTGCCACAATCACAATGAATCGTTGGTCGTTCTACATTACTGATAGAAAACACTTTACTAAAATATTGCGATAAAGCTTCAGCTTTTTCGGTACATTTGGGCGGGGTGTAACCTGGTCGTATATCATGTCCCTAGTTCTAAAAGTGAATGACAAGACAGCGTGATCGGTGTTCACTAACGGTGGAAGAATATTTAGGTAAACAATATCCTCAGTCTCATGAGTGATTACCAAGTCCAACAGGGAAGAACCTTGCTTGGCACCTAAACCTGTGGGTTTGGATGGATGCTCTGTTATTGTTATCAGGAACCTGCTATCAAAGTAGTTTGTAGATCCTTCCGTGGTTATCTCAGTCCAGCTAATATCAGGTGCACTAAAGTCTCCTATTATCAAGCATCTTATTTGCACTCTATAGTTGAATGTGCTCTAAAATAAAGTCATCAGCTAAGCAGATTGGGCTGCGATAGATGACGCCGAGAATAAATGTACCAAATCCGAAAGCCAATTTACAGATAATGACTTCACGGCCTCCAAATGCCCTGGTACGGCCGATAGTGGGGAGAGTCCGCTCTCCCTCTCGAAATGCTCTCACATGGCCACGCGTATATAGCCTCTACCATGGAAGTCCTACTCATTGCCTTCTCGTGGAAGGGTGTTGTTTACGAAATTGAGAGGACGAGAAGCGAATGTCCGGCGCTTTAACCGGGTTGGTGGACATGGAGAGTCCACCTAGGGGAGTTGGTAAACCCTGATTCCAAACCAATGGTGCATATTTTTTTCGTGCCTCCTTGTACCAATATCTATGTGTTAAAATAAATAGATAAACTTCACAAGTACCGCTATCATGAGATTCGCTAGCGGAGGAGCTATGTATAAAAGGAAGTCACCTCCCTTTCTACATCTATGTCAATCACTCCTTATCCGGATAATTGTGGAGTAATGTCTAAGTCACAGAATAACCAAGTTTCTGTCACTGCTACAATAAGTGGCCTTAATTTGTCCACTAATGCTTCTAGTTCATAGAACTTATTTCTTAAACTACGAGCGTTGGCATATAAAACGCCTATATAGAACGGCCTATCCACACATGCCCTGGTAGCATTCGCTTCCAAGAACTGACTATCTGAAAAACCACTGACCGGAGATTTCCCTTACCGTTTTGTTAACAGGTTTCTAGTTCAGCTAGTGCCTTCTTCCTTTTTATTCTATCTTCAAGCGACATATCAGGTCTAACACGGACGTCTGAATTGTCGTGACTACAGTCAGTCAGTAACAACGTAGAACTTCGTACGTACGTACATCAGTTCGAGTTGCCATACCACATTAGCACAGAGATGCAGTTATCGA